CAGAGGGGCTATTTGGGAGTGCAGTAAGAGTTCCGTGTGGGAGGTTACGGTCGATGAAAGGGGGAATCGGTATCTCGCCGTGCGAGTTGCGAGTGGCGTTATTAACCCTGAAATAGCCCTATTGACTTATTCAGGTCCCGGTGGCACTGGATGCACATGAGTGTGGGGTTCACTGCTCCGGGCAAAGTCTAGTCACGCAGTCCACCCATTAAGAGAGCGCCCTCTACGGGTGTATTAGTTGAGTGAATGATTGAAGTGGCCTTGATGAATAAACCACGGACGTATAAAAAACCTGGACTTGCAACGCCTTTTTATGAATTAAAGGCCAACCAGCGGCCACTTTACCGAGCCGAATATAAATGCACGGGTTGGCTCGCTTCAATTGACGCCAGGGAGAACTACAGGCGGGCATTGCCGGGCAAGCTCGGTAAAATGGCCGCTAGTGGATTCAATGATGATCTCTATAAGCTGATGGGCATTGCGAGTCCAGATTTTGTTTATGTACGTCCGTGGAATAAACCAACTACCATTTTGTTGCACGTAAGTCAGGCGTCCAAGGATCGTTATTTTGAGTCACAGGCCGTCTTATTTGGTGAATCGCGTGGTGTTTAATTAAGTTGCGTCCCAATTCCGGGCCAATCAAGTCAGACCTTTCCGGTGCCGAACAGCCCTGCAAACGGAGTTTCCAGACCGGGGCGGTATACTTCCATCCGAACGGACTTGTCTCTAGCCGCTCACGCCTCGGGGAGGAGGGCGCCTTTGTCGGGGGGGGGGGTGAACGTCACATCAGCAGGCCTACTTCTGGAGAAAATGAATGCTGCGTAGTGTTCCGTTGGGGGACCCACTGTGTAAAATTACTTAGGATTTACACCTGAAACACCATGTAGCCAGCGTTCACACCTATATACAGTGATTTAAAGTCCAGTGATTGATGACTACCTAGTGAAATGAATTCTGTGTGATGTCCTCAAGATCAGACTACGAGGATCAGTGACCTTCTAATTATCACATCAAAATATCAGTTACTGGGGGCAGTAGGCCTACTATTCTCGGACCAGAGCTGTGACATGAGTGTCTCCACCGTTGGAACCAAAATGGTGGATGATGTGTCAATCCACATGCTGCATTGCACACATAATGAACAGCCATTACAGCTCCATAATGTAGTCTGAAGTTGGTGCAACTCTCTCTATACAGAGAGCTGTGACTCGGAGTGCGATCGGCAGTCCACAGATCATGATGGTCTCTCTACCGATACCCATGGTTGTTCAAAATCGTTATTTTTATTTTTAAAAAAAATTACAAGAATTATATTTCTTTTGAAGTTTAAAACAGATTTTTTTTAAAAACTACAAATACCATATCTGGCATACATGTCTACTTTTCAGCTACAAATCTTTCACTACTTAAATGCAATAGCTTCAGGTTTGGTACATGCATATTCATGTACACTGGCCTTTTCAGCTGTTAACGCTGTCAGCTGTTACACAACAATTACTGTGCCAGCCCCTGTAATGAAACATCAACCAATGCCCACTTTTATGTATATCATAATACATGTTTAATGCATGTCAAGCGTATGTACTGTACAATGTACATCCCAATGAAGAGTATCCAAAAGCAAGGTGATCCCACTATAAACTTTTCAAAGAATTTAAAGATGATGCAGCTGGGACAAATTATAGTTACCGTTCTTTTGCTCGGATGGGTAATTCAGAAAGTCATCACAATTGTCACCTTTATTTTTCAACAGTTAAAAAATTCAAAGAGAGGCTGTACACCCATAACGTAGCAATACAGTCAGTGGATACTGTGTTGGAACACGATCCAAAGTGACAAACATTAAAGTAAGCCGATTATACACGACTGTGTTATTGTACGATTATTTCCAAGTGTGTTTATTCCGGTTGTGTTTTTATTTAATTAATTACAAAGCATGGATCTTCAAGGACAAGGCTTTCTGCCCTCAAGCTAAGGTTATAGGGCAGCCCTAATGCCAAGGCTCAGCATCAAGGCACTAAATCATTGCTACTGACCATAATCAGACCTTACTTAGTAGACCCGGCCAATGTACTGATCCGTCACAAACTGCTTTTAAGTATGCTTTCCTTCCGACTTTGTGGCTCTTATGTCATACTTACAACTGAAATGGGTCATCCACCAGATGACCTCCTCATGAATAAGAGTCATTTGTGGAAATCTGTCACAGCCACACACAGTCCAGTGAGCAAATCCTACATCCCAAGCGGGCAACAGATTTAAATGTACCTGTATTTGGCTTCCCGACCCTGGCCACTATTTTATATAGGCGACTAAATGCTTGCACGAAGTTTACATTTAATTTGGCAACAGCCCTGCCTAAAAACCCAGTTCCTTCTAGACCCTTAAACAGGGCCCTCCGTATACTCCTTCAATCTCAATGAAGGAGTACACATAGGGCCCTGTTTACGGATTTAATATCCTTTGTCAGTCTTAAACAATGAAGTATTCTTGTACATATTTGGTAGCACATTTGGTATTAATTTGAGTGGCTTATTTTCTTTTATTTTTACTTTTTTTGTTATTTGTGTTTTTTGTACCAATAGTAAGTCACAGTTGGTCAATCTTTAGCTGCCAAAAACCTGCAAATGACTGACCACTAACGTTTCAGTATATGACGTAAGGTGTTTTGAATGTTGGATCATTTCATTTGTACTGACTTAACCGTCCTTAAAGTCAATCTACTCGAGCTACAGGTACTCAAATACACCACATGCCAGGGCTGACTGTCATCGTGAGGTTTTATGAGTACACAAAATCACAAATACGTAACTTTACACTGCTCTCTTTAACGATATGGCTTCTTCACATTACCAAACTAGGGCAGAAAGCTCACAAAGGTCGATGTCAGGATAAAGAAATAAGAGATATATTCCCATGAAACACCCGATGACATAAAATGGAAGAACAGAATTTTATGCTCTACATAAGCTTGAAAAGTCAAAGAATGCATCAAGTAAAATATATTAAATGTGCCAATAAGCTTCTATTTCGTAGATACATAAATATTGTTAGAGTTTGTTTTTGTTAAAGTTGTTCTTTCATGTCCTTCAGTCTCTCTGCTTAAGCAAGATGAAACATGGCACATACAGCATAACTGGCCATCTTATTTCAAAAGGTGATAGTATTCTGTAGCCAGTGAAATTGTTGATAGCAACAGTAGACATTTTCCTACTCTGTACAGAGTTTAAGACATCGAAGAAGAATACAGTTAAGAGCAGTTCAAGAATTAATGAAATTGGGTTCAGAGTATTTACAATAGTACTATTGCACCACGGTCCTAACCAGAGTTGTAAGATGGTCTTTGAAGGTTTTTTGGTTCACTAAGTGGTTTCTGGTGAGAGGTTAATATCCTATTGCAAGACACAAAAAGTACTCTGAACCAATGTTCATGAAACAAATCAATCAGTTATGCGGTTCAACTAGTGATTACAAACCATCTTGGAAGATGGCAGCCATTGGGCACTTCTGATGCCATCACTGCACCAGAAGCGCCAATGTAGAAAATCAATAACAAGCATTCTCAACAGCACATTTTTGGTATTATGATTTTGAATTTGAAAAAAAAAATTACAGAAAAAATTCATCATTGAGATACGCCCGTCGCTGTTGCTGCTTAATCAGTACTTGGGGTCATCCCACACATCTTGAGGTACTCACTGTGGAGTTTCTCTTGTGCTTGGTACAACTTGGCAAGTTTCTTAAGCTGTTTTCCACTTAGCTCCTTCCCCTCTGCATCGTGGGTTGGCATTCCCTGGGGGTAAGTGTGAAAACAATATATTTAGGGTTTGAAATATGTTGGGGTGAACGTTCACTTACATTACAGGAGGGGTCTCAGTGAGCAAATAAGACTACTTGATCAGAGTTATTACCAGGCTCGACTGTGTAGACACGTCTCAGATCTATTATGTGACAACAGTTAACATCTTAGAAACAAAACTAAACCCTGGTCTACCTTTTCAAATGCCAAGAGGGCCGGGAATAGATCATTTCAATTCATAATGACCTTGATCTCTGAGAGTTTATACAGACGAATTCATTTTGGGAACATCCCAGATAAGACCATTCCCCACCTTGAAGAGGAAAACATTCTCAAATGGGGTTATTTACAAATGGGAACATTCACATAAATTTTTTAAGGCATATACCAACAGGAATGACCTGGCTTTTCAATGTGTTCTTAACTTCTCCCTCAAGCATGGTACGGTGGGGCTGTAACCATCTTTTAGAATGGGTGTGGCCCACTCATCAACAGAATCAACAGATTGTGGAGGTGATCTACCTTCTCATCAAAGGAGGAATATTTGGAAGTTTCCTGGAGGAACATCTGTGATGGAGGAATGCGTCTCTGGGCATCCTTGGCTGCCTGTTTCTCTTGCTCTTTCCTCTTAGCTTCCTCTTTCTTCCTTTGCTTCTCCTCGGCTTGCTGCATCCATCAAAATATGAAAAAACTGTATCAATGACATTTCAAACCTGAAGACTGTATCATTTTATCTGGGTCCTGCTTAATTGAATGATATCAAATCATGAAGCATTCGCTCTGGGTTAAAGGTCACACAAGGTGACACAACTCTGAGGTGGGGGTGCAGGTGTCCCGCCCCTTGGGTGGCCACACTCTTCTGAACACCTTAAATGAACACAGGGTATACACAAGCTACATGTACACTTCATTTGCTTTTAGTACCCCATCAGAAAAAAATGTGGACGCCCTTGACTACCCTCTTGGAATATTAAGCTCACATTCAACATTCAACTCCTTCAGTTTAAAGCCTGTTGAATCCAAGGGATTTATTCAGGAACCTTTTGAGGGAGGAACAACAAGGACGTTTCATGTTAGCTACTAGAAATAATAATGCCAGAAAATGGAAAAATGGAACTCATGGAAATAATCAGGGTAGTGACCAGAAGAGAAACTTTAATAGGTGGCCTTTAGCGCATCCTGAGAGCGATATTTTAACGCAATAATCTCAATTTAAACACAGAAACAGATGTTTGAGGCCTGTATAGGTTTCACTGCCGTAGAATCTTTCATATAAGGCTGGCAGTGCCAAAAAATATCAAGTTTGCAGCACTTGGCGAGACATTTCACTGTTGTAATCAAAACACATGCATTTAAACAGGACTATTGACTTTTACATTTTTGTGTACAATGTAAATGACAACACTTGTATGCAATTGCTTTCATAAACTGCATTATGCTTGAGACATAAAATATGATAAAGGGGTTTCTAGGCCTGACACTTGTCTTCGGTTGTTCCTCTCTTACATGTATCTACATTACAGGTTACATGTAAGTTAGATGAAAGCCTCGGTGTATGGTAGCAGAAATATTTAATGTACATATCCTTGAAATAAAAGGAAGTTTAGGGGACTTACAATAAGCCAAAATCCCTTTAATTCTGAGCTAGCAATCACAGCATGTTGTTAACACCAAACTGTGCTAGAGTGCGTGCTTTTCTGCTAAGCGTGGCAACCTCATTAGCTCCTCAACAAAGTGCACGTGAGCAAAGTGCGACGTCATCTGTACACAGGCCAATTCACAATGACAATCTAAGCGTGGCACCACACAAAGACTTATTGTCAAATTTCTCAGTACCCCAAAATACTCTCTGTTCGTATTCAGGGGCCTTGCCATAGAGTACCGAAGTAAATACGTCACGCGCACAATTAGTGTGTAAAAGGCATTAGCGCGAGAACCAGCGCGTGAACCAACACACGCGTACTCCATTCGTTTGCACTGCACTTTCTGGTTCACAGTGACGACACACTTCGGTACTCCATTATAACAAGAAAAGCACATCCGGACTGTGAAATGATAAAATAGCCACTGCCTATCATAAATGAAATGAATATGAAAGTATTTTGCAAACCTGCTTAGCAAGTTGTCTTTCTCGCATTATTGTTTCTCTGTCCACCAGTTTGACCACCGCTGCCCCCTCATCTCTATCCTCTAGTCTTACACCTAGGTCTGGCAAGATGTCATCTCGCAAAGCATCACACAACTTCAATATATCCACAGCTAAAAAGCAGAGAAATTGCAGTCACCAGGGCTGATGAAGGAGGTTACCATTCTCAATTAGAGACAGGCCTGTTCAAATAATTTCCTTAAGATTTGAGAGCGCAAAAGTGCCACTCTAAAGAGAGTGGTGTTCTCATAGAACATAAGTTTGTTGTTACTGTGAACAATCTGAGTACACTTGGATGATATTTCAAGTACAACTCGAACTTCAGAAATATGCTGCATTTTGCCAAGTATGAATGCATTACATGCATACCAAAGTTAGGTGTGTCACTCCACATACTTAATCATATCCAATCAACGTAGCCTCAGCGTGCTTTTTTTAACAAAAGCTGATATGTCAGTATGTTTGTGGGTTGAGAGAGGAGTGCAACCACTGTACTTCAAGGTGGACGTGGTTTAATCTTCCTGCATGAAAACTCTCAGTCCTTCGTGCATTCTGAACACATCCAGCAGCCTGAATTCTGCACAGTACCCTGCAGGAAATTCACAGCGCAATTTCTTTGCTCCCAGTTCCAAGGAGCATACTTCACGATGGAACAGACAACAAGCTCTACAGACCGCTCGAAGTTTGCCTACAACTTGTAAGCAAAATTGTGCATAAATATCTCCTTTTGGTTGGTTTTCGAGTTTACATCCAATTCGTTCAAAATGGACATTAGTCCCATTGGTTATATTTTCATTTAGTTTTTTGTTACTACACATATTATTGTCTAATGTTTTGATATCTGAGCAAAATTTTTAACACTTTGTGAATTCTTTCTCTCTTTTCCTTTTTCCTGACAGCCAACCATAGTTTTACCAACCACTTGCAGGAAAAACACTGCGACTGTGATGTTACAAGAGGGGATCCCACACCTTCCTCCCTTCCACAAATCTTAACAAACATCCTTTGATATTTGCGAGGATCTAGGGTTGGTGTCGTTCATATGCATCACTGCTACCTACCTTTCTGCTGCCTTGCAGTTTGCCTGACCTTTTCTCTAAACTCTGACAAGACTTGCAGATAGGGCATGACAGTCTCTTCAACCTGTAACAAATACATGTACGTGTCAGGAAAGGTGCCCTGGACAAAGGACTTCCTCAAACGACGGTTTCATAATGTTTATTTTGACAGGAACCCAGATGAGTTGGTGCAGGAGTACTGCCAGTGCTGACCTATCAAGCTATGCCCTGAAAATCTAAACCAAGCTGAGCCAAGGTGAACCAAGAAACTCAACATATTCATGTACACATTCAGTGGAATGTTGTTACATAACAAATATGTCAAGGACCAAACATGATTGGTCTGGTGACAATATACAAATCAGTGCTCTAGAATATGTGATTGCCAAGCTTAAACTGAGTACCTTCTACTACTGAATCTGCTTGCCCTGAAGAAGGTATTCAGTTACAGAAAGCTCGGCAATCACATATTTCAGAGCACTGAATTTATATTATATTCTTGTCAATATTCTGACCATGGTGCTACGCAGCCCTTCCATATTTCTATGATTGGTTTGGTGTTAAAGAACGACAAAGAGATTTTTGGCTGCCATGCTGATATTTAGATTAACTGCTGATGACCAAAACAAGCCTTGACACAATCAGTGGATGAGTGATAAAGATAACTGTATACCTGAGTAAGAGGTTGTGAGCTCGGGTCTGCTATCCGAGAGTAGTTATTAGCGGTAAATACAATAGTCTTTCTGGAATATGTCAAATTATGGATCAACCGACGATCGCATCAGACACTGAATTGGGCCAATGTTCGCAACATCGGCAAAACATTGGATCAGAAAAATTTGACCGTCCTAGCCGATATGAGTCCTGATGTTAAACTTCAGAAAGGAACAAACTCTGCACTCAGTTGTGGCAAACACAAATGTCATATTTTTATTTGAGCATGAATTAAAACAATGTTTTTTCATTTGATTAGATGAATGGATAGTTGTACCATGATTAACCCACGTCAAATATCCCCGGAAATTACACCTGCGCGATCTGTGCTGCGACAACTCAATGCACGGACCATGGATCCAAGGAGCAGTCTGTGTTCATGTTTATTATTTCCATTGATTGCTATGAAAAGAGCCAGGGGACTACATGTACATCGTGTGTGGCACCACGAGGTGTTGTGTGACCAGTCTGAACGTAGGCCGCAATTTAGCCGTAAGGAGTGCGTGGCTACCTGGACACCCGACATGCACCTCTGCTGTTGGTGCAACAAAAGACACCATTGTGAGTGGTGAAGCCACGAGCTGAGCATGGTGCACTGGTGTGATGAGTGCCTTGACTAAAGACTAGCCGTGATGCAGCTTGAGGGGCTGTGTGTCTATTCTGCATGTACTGTACATGCACTTCGTGTGTTAGATTTGAATACAATGGAGCACTATCGGTATCGTGTGAGCGATGTGATGTCCACGATTCTCTCAACTCAGTGACAGTGAAGGCAAACAACTAACCCTATTACCAGTACCTTTTGAATTTGAAGGGAGTACACTGATTTTGTGTTGCTGTTGACATTGGATCGGCAGTTAAAACCTACATTGGTTGATCCCTATTTCAAATCTAATTGTTATACCGCAGTAAACAATGAAATTTTTTATTTGTCGAGAGTGCATCACTGGATCTTGACATCACTGTAGTAAACGAGTGATGTACACCACAGGGTGCATTCATTATCTTGATCTTTCCAATGGTTTAAAGTGTTGCTTTCATCATATCGTATTGATGTGACGTTGGGTACAAGGTTGTACAGCCAGGCTGGTACTACATTAGTTCATGTATATCAGATGTGCTATGGGGACAGTGAAGCACTTTTTTCTGCTATGACCACCATTTTTGTTGAAATCCTTCACTCATGTTTTCAACTGGGCCAATTTCATTTCCCAGCATACATGTACATGTACCTTCCGATATCGTGCCCCTGTGAATGCAGATACAGCTTGGCAGCTCATCCCAGCTATCTAGGCATGGCTCCATTGTCAAGATTACAAATGACCACCAAGAACTGAGTATTACTCAGACTGCAAGATTGCAGGTTTGGTACTTACATTAGCATTTTGCGTAGCCCCACTTAATGGAAAGCCAATGGGTTCATCACCTTCTATTGCACCAAACACCTGAAAATCAGCAGCATTAGGAAAGACTTTTATTATGCATGTACATGCCTCTGCTTCTTTCTTTTGAGCTAAAAGGCATAAAATCAATTGAATTATTCCATACACGTTACTTCCTACTCCAGGTACAAGTACACTGAGAGAAAACTGCTTTTATTCTTTTCATCAACACTTTCTTTTCAACCCCAACACTCCTCAATCCTTCCCCTGTTGGAGGACTGAGGAGTGTTAGGGTTAAGACTATTTTCCTTGCCAATATTTTTTACATGATAAGATACATACACCTTAATGTAACACTTTGATGTTGGTCAGCGGGTCTGTCCACCAAACTACCTTGCTTTTGTTGCCAGTCCATACCTGTTGTCTTTTTTCCAAATATATGAATCACTAAAAATAGTTTTCATACCAAAGCGCCCGAAGAACACCTTTGTAAAGAGAACATAGGGCCTAGTAATATTCCTTCAGTAGCAGCCTTTCCTCTATTTTCTCTATGGAAGCACGATGCTGCCATAGGCAAGTAGAGCCTCCATCTCGATCTTTACACAAGCCTGATCAGTGATTCCCACGTAGGTTGCTTCGTAATGTGCACGCTGCGTTAGGTCTTAAACCATGTGATTGGACAATAATTAAAAAGCTGCGTTTACGCGACTCTACAAGCTGCCAGATTATGCTACACTCGACGCTGTAGTACTCCATGCTCTTGTGGGTTAGGGTCAAAGTCAGTAGAAAATGTTGAAAGGAAAATATCAAAACGGGTGCCACATCTAAAATGGGCTTATTGGCAGTCAAACAACAAACATCAGTTTAGTTTCTGTCTCTATTTGCCTATGGAATATATGCCTGTATAGTGCCCTGAAGGACAGTGACCATACATGAAGAGTGACTGGCCTTACCCTCAGCATCTTTGTGATAAAGACGGCAGCATTCTGTAGCAACATCCTGTTGGGTGTGGCCTTAACAGTCCGCCTGTCCTGTATGTACACATTGCACTGGCCAATCAGAGCTCGCATAGACTCCATCGCTGTCTTGGTGTCAATGGAGTCACACAGGGCCTCATTGACCTTTGACCTGCAGGTCTGAAACCTGTGCAGAAACAAAGCATGTAGTACAAACGTTTTCTCTCCTTACCCTGAATATCTCAAACACCAACTTTTTACTGAATAATTCTGAAATATTCCATGTAGCTTCTTCAATTGCCATTTTCTTCAAGCTCTTTTGCCTGAAAACCTCAACTTCTGAAATAGGCAAGATAGAGTGACCAATTTTGATGTACAGCTAAATGCCACATGTGCATTTACACATATAAAGTGACTCATTGGAGTCATTTCAATAATGTCGTGCAGTATTTCTCACTTAAACCTGATATTTTTTAACACTTCAGGTTATTCCCATAAGTTGCTACTACAACTTCCCGTGCACAGAAACCAAGTTCAAATTTCAACCCAAAGTCCACTTGCAAAGATTTCTTGGACATTATGAGTGTAAAAAGCAAATGCAGTGTTAACATGGAGAAATGCCAGCCTGTAGTACGGCCATACCTGTATAGACAAGATAGTATAAACACGTACAGTCTTTACTGGGAAGTAGCTCAAAGGCCAAGTGGTCGCAGTCAAAAGAATCCCAGCGTTAAGGGGTTAAAAAGACACAAAGTCATGAAATACATGTACCCTTCTGTTGTTCTGGAAAAACACTCATGACCGTAACTTTCCGGTACATCATACACATGCTCTGTTCTTCAATTTTCCCCGCTTGTATAGAAGAGGATACTCACTGTTGGTTCAAATTCAATTCTGGCTCATTCCATTTCTCAAATGCCTCAGGGCCGTTGGAGGGAGTACTACGTAGTATAGCTTTCACATTCAGGAAGAACTCCTACAGAAAACAATCACAAAGCAAACATTTCTATACTGAATGTTCTTAATAATTATTTTACCAAATTAGGTACTAGCAAACGCAGAAAGATCTGAAGTAAAGAACAAAAACTCAATTTCTACAACATTAGTTACATAAACCCCTTTCACATGATCTTGCAATAACCTGCAGTATTTGAGTTCTTTCCGATAGGGCTGTGGTCAAGTATTTCTAAGTTTTTAGCTCATTACCAGATATGAAGGTGGTACTGTTGGATTACCCACTTGCCGCAGGGGGCTCCGGTAGCGGAGCCATAGGCCTTATATTCGTGGCCGGGGTCTCTGAACTCGGACAAGGCAGGCTTGCTGGGCATTACCCACATTTTTTACTCTCAAAAGTGGAGATACTCCAGCCTTGTTTTGAAACAGTATACCACGGTTTGGGGTGTTTAGAGCAAGGGGATTACCACCAGGGATAAAAGCGCTCCACCACCGCAGCGATGAGCCACACAGTATCACTGCACGCTAATCTGGCCCATATGGAAAAGAGGTCAGCAGTGCACTGAGCCAGGTTTGTGAAAAAAGAAAGTTATATAACACCGCACAATATGGGCTCTTTTTACAAGGCTGTGGGCCTGGCTGAAACACTCAGGCGTCAATGAAGGTCACTTGTCAACTTAGTCTAGTGCCAAAAGATTACTTCATGTGGGTATAAACGTCCATTAAATGAAATGGTTAATTTTTGAAGAATTTTGAAAACAGAAAAAATGATAACAATCACAGCCCAGCATCATCATCAACATTGAAAACTAACCCGGCACGAAGTGGTTAAAGCTTAATAAAACAAACAACAGACAGTATACACGGGACTGAGCCAAAGAAATTAAAGAGCTCTCACAATCACAATCTCATAAAAAATACAACTTCAAGATAAACACTTTCTTTTTCTATGCCAAAGTTTAAATCAAACGAACAGGAAGTGTTCAGTATGGGCAATACACAATACAGTGCACCACTGCCAAGGGATTGTAATAAACAGGTCAGTTTTCAAGTTTACGGGGAACAAAAAATGGCAAACGTGTTGCAATTTGCATATGAATGAATATCAGGAAACAATGAGGAAAAGACTAGGGCATTCCATGCCTCGCACAAAAACCATCATTCTACAATGTATATGAATTAACATGCATACTCTAAACACTTCCAAATCTTCAACTTAACCCCTTGACGACGGGAATTTCTTCCCGAAAGCCGACTCCAAGAATTCCAGCCTCGCTTGGCCACAAAGGCCACCTGCCAGACCGCAAATTCTCGGTTTGTGGCCCTGCATGCTCTGCACGCTTTGAATTACACAGTGAAAAGGCTGATTGAGCTGCATGCGGCTCTACTCAAGCTTCTACATTCCCCTTGCCTCTTTTCAAAGTGGGGACTATTGTGAAGCTGGTGATTATGATGCAAATTCCATCTTTTCATTTCTGGGCAACACACAAAGGCCAATTACCATATATACAAGAGCCAGGGTCTGCCCTCTTTCACCATGTTCACTCGAGCGTGGGTCAAGAATAATAGCTGAAAAGTGGGCTGAGGATCTCAATTTTTACGGCGTGTCTAGCCGCATCCCGGCGTGAAGGGTTAAACCAAAACAAGCCAAACAATTCAAGTTCTTATCAAACAACGCAGCTGATGCAAAGAACTTTTGTCAACTGTTTCCTGCAATGTACAGCATAACAGGCCTGTCTGTGACAACCTCTTGGTGGCGCATGACATTGCAAATCCCCTGTATTACAGTTTTTAAGATTGTCTCTTGCGTATTTTTTTTTTATATCCTGTCACTCAGAACATCTACCCCTCGTAGTAGTTCATTTACAAGTTTGTGTGAATAAACTGGACAAGCTTCCTGATCTGCAAGGGAAAAGAATATTTGCAATGAATCTATCTGCACAGTCTTAAAAACCTATCCGTCCAGTCCATATACTTCCAGTGTACGTAATTTTTCCATTACAACTGTGTGAAAAATCTTTAGTTCATTGTATTCTTACCTCCGCTAATGCCAGCACTCTGTGCCGCAAAAATAATGGCAATTCCCTGCTGCAGGTCTTTTGTTCCGAGTACGGTCTTTTGTTACCAGACCCAGCTCCTTTCTCCAATTTTGGGCACCCTGGCTATGTGTATAAACCTAAGAACCCCGGTACTGGGAACCCCAGCACTGAGTGGTGAACACTTACATTAACTGTCTTCTCATATTGCACTGCGACATCCATGGTGTCTGCCGAGTAGTCTAGAGTGTCCTTCCAGGAGTGAAGTAGGAACACCATGCGTATCTGCCGAGAGGTGTACTGCTTCAAGGCATCCTTAATGGAGATGAAGTTTTTGAGAGACTTGGACATCTTACAACCGGCGATGGTCAAGTGGCCAGAGTGGAGGAAGTAGCGGACCCAGTGGTCATTGGAATAGTGGGCCTGATCAGGACACGAGAACAACCCAAAAAGGCTGGAAATTAGAACTATGGGTTACGTGACCGTGCATTAATTTCGGCATTGGGGCAAAAAAATATATCAAGCCTGCATGATACATGTGTCTGCACTAGCAAGCAGACGGTCATGAAGTTGGCAAGTTTGTGAACTGTTTTTCTCTCAAACTCTGAAAAATTAGAGTGAAAACAATATGCTCATAAATTATAAATAAATATGCGTTTGGCCAGTCTTAAACGCACATTTAATACTGGCTTAGAAGAATTATCAGCATTCGTTCTCCTGAGCAAGCACATATTTATGCCCATTCATAAATACCTTTTTATTCAGAGAGTCAGAAAAAGTCAACATGTGATGGATTTCCAACAATTCTGTTCTAAAATTTTTCTTTCATTTTCCCAAATACTAATACAAGGTCAAGTTGCATGTTCTTGAAAAGGGAGGCTGTCTGAGGTATTTATGAATAAATGCTTATACATGATGCACGATAATGGTGGAAAGCAAAAAGCAATTTTAAAACTGTATGTGCTTCAATCCTTGCATTACACATAGATCAACAAAAATGCTTTTGTAATCATTCCGGCAGCTTTCACTGTCCCAAACTGGACCAGTGAGGTAACACAAATGACATTTTATTCACTTACACAGTTGCACAGTGACCAGAATGGGGAACTTCAATTCTACTTTTAACTGCGCACTTCATATCTGTGAGTCCATGCAGTATATAACCAGCACAAGAACCGAAATATCATTAACCCTAACACTCCTCAGTCCTCCAACAGGTGAAGGATTGAGGAGTGTTAGGGTTAAGCATCCACTGCCTTATCAAGAAGTAAAAAAGAAAACTTAATCCAACTCAGAGAATCTACCACAGTGTGCACACAGGACGGATGTGGCAAAAACTAGACTGTGTGATGTTATATAACACCGCAGACCAACTGTGTCTTGCGAGATCAGTGATCACGTTTGGATTCATCTACTCTGGAGGGCTTTCTTTACCTCTGCTTGAGCAAGTTCATTGTCATGATGAGGAAACTTCAAGTCTACTCCTCCGGTGTGTATGTCCATGGATCCTCCTAGTATACTGCTAGCCATAACAGAGCACTCAATGTGCCAACCAGGTCGACCCTGTTCAAATAAGGAATTGGATTTGCACTTTTATGACCGGCTGAGTTGATGAAAAATTATCCTCTCTATATCAGGAGCAAAGAAAATAGCTTGGGTGGGATGTGAGCACTACCATCTGAGCTATCAACGCTTTTCAACTAGTGACATTTAAGGGCAGATTCAGGTTCAGAATAAAAATGGGACATGTCAATGGAACACACAAGGCCTTGTATTTGAACAGTAAACAGTAAATACGTTTTGATAGTCCCCACATTGTGAGTCCAAGACAAGCTTTAGGAGGCCTGTCATGAAGTCATAAAATCCCATACCTGCCCCCATGGTGAATCCCTAGCAGGCTTGGAGGGCCATTCACGGTAAATACTTTTTTGATGCCCCCCCTACAGTGAATCTAAGACAAGCTCTTGGAGGCCTGTCATGAAGTCATAATGTCCCATACCTGCCCCCACGGTGAATCCCAAGCAGGCTCTCCCGGCTTGGAGGCCTTCCACAGGGCAAAGTCATTTGGTGATCTCTTCTCACTTAGTCGGTCCTGGGATATGCAGAGATCACCCTCCCCCTCCTTCAATGCTTCCTGGTCCCCATACGCTTCGGGAACCAGCTTTGCATAGTGATGATTGGGATCGTTGTCAAATTTGGAAGTGGTGAAATACACAGATCCATTGGATTCATATCTGGAAAAGAATGTTGACGGTGATATTCTGCAAATCACAGGTGAGGGTTTTGTTTTTATTTAATCTTTCCCTGAGCTAGGTTTAAGAGTTTTGTCCATTTAGATTATTTTTAAGGACGATATTCTACAATGTATGATAAATGTTACAAGAAGTAGGCACAAACTGAACATGTGACCATCTCTGCCCTCACAGGTGGTGATGTACATCAGAAACAGGTACCAGACTACCTGACTGATGATATCAGTCCCACATTATGCAACAGGGTACCAGTAACCACCCCATACAGATTTTTACAACCTGGTAATTTTCTGTTTGAACCTTTTGACATAAAATAATGAGCTACATGAAATTGATAAGACAAAGTGGCAATTTGAAAGCATTTACCATTTGCCTTGTTTTCTCATTGAATTTAGGAATTACGTTTCTTTTATGGACACCTACATGCATGTTTACTTCAAAGAGAAGGCCTTGGTTTCCATACTTCCCATAAAGGCACATCACTACTCACAGTATCTTGTATTCTGGGTACCCAAACAGGCTCAAGACGCCAAGTGTCTTGATCAAAGACGTGCACATATGCAACTTGCAACTCCATCAGCTTGGTTCTAACCCCTCAAGTGCAGAATCAATCACTGCTTTGAGACTCATGCTCCAAATCACAAGGCCACTCAACATGAACTAAAGGACCACTTCTAGTACCACTTACCCGAAGCCGTTGTCAATAATCTTTTGTGTGAAAGCAATGACTTCTGGAACGTACTCGCTGACTCTGGTTAGAACATCTGCAGGCAAGACCTACAAACAAATTTTTTAAAAATGATATCCGCCTTGAGTTAACACGTGCCTTTGTTACTTCAACAAATATGACAAAGATTTGAGTATATACCAAACACAAACTGTCTGTATGTACACGTAGAGCCTTAGAAAAATCAAATGAGTCTTCAATTATTTTTCTGCAGAAACAATGAATGGTCAAATTTGTCTAGATGTACATGCGGCAAACAGGTTTAGCCAAGACATTTTTTTTATGTTATTGTTTTGCTGCCCATTGCCATTTCAATAAAAGCAAGAACTTGATACTTCTATTTCAAAAGCAATTTGAAAGTGGATATGAGGGGGTAATCTGTAGTCTAGAAACTGTGGCAGCATTCCATCGAGCTTCCAGAGCTATGGCTAGGCCTACTGTCTACAAGTCTCTACACATTTCTAATGGAGGATTGACCTACACCTAGCTCTAGACAACAGATTTGGATGGCGCCTTACATTGAGCGCTTCCATGTCTTGGTGGTATTCTCTCTCCCAGTGTTGAGTCAACTTGAAAAAGATGGATTTATCTTTGACTTGACTGCCATGCTCTGCGTCCAGCCAATCACTGAGTGGGTCTCTTGCTGCCTCGAGCATTGCCTGGGAGGAAAAGAAATGAGAGAGGGTGAAGCCAAACGTGATAATCAGTGGCACTGATGATAAGTGCTGATGGTTGGGGTGAGGCAAATGTATCGTGGGGACGACAGTGACATGAAAGGGTTGTGGTAGTGTGGAGACAGTGATGACATGTTGAATGTGATGAGGACCCGGGATGCACCTGGGATGATAAATCTAGTTAACCCCTTCTCGACTGGAATTTCTTTCAGAAAGCCGACTCCAAGAATTCCAGCCTCGCTTGGCCAACGAAGGCAACCTGCCAAACCGCAAATTCTCGGCTTGTGGCCCAGCGTGCTCTGCACGCTTTGAATTACACGGTGAAAAGGCTGATTGTTCGGAGGCATGCCGCTCTACCTAACCTTCCACATTCCCATTGCCTCTTTTCAAAGTGGGGACTATTGTGAAGCTGGTGATTATGATGCAAATTCGGTCTTTTCATTTCTGGGCTACGCACAAAGACCAATTACCATATACACACAAGAGCCAGGGTCTGCCTTCTTTCAATGTGTTCGCTCGAGCGTGGGCCGAGAATAATAGCTCAAAAGCAGGCTGAGGATCTCAATTTTTACGCCGTGTCTTAACGCATCCCAGCGTGAAGGGGTTAACCACTTGTCGCCAGACGACATGTAAACACAAACAAGTTTCCTAATGTGTTCAGTGGAGGACGTGTACACTCATGTAGGAATTCTTTGCTACATTTTTGCGATTGACGTATTAACACGTTGTACTTGGTCGGATCAAAGTGCAGAAGACGATCTTAAAAGTGGACACACCCCCAAACCCACAATAATCTGGAAAACCCATTCTTCAGTAATTAGAATTGAGCTGAGGAGCCCACACCATACACAAAAGAAGTAAGGGGATGAAAGACTTCCTTTGTATCCAAACAATTGGCAAAAAACATAAGGCCATGGGTGATGCAATGTACCTGTATACACAATGTTTGTATGTGAACCAGTTGCCTTCTGAACATGTGCCACAACTTTTACTAGGGCAGTTGGAAAACGGCCGAAAAGAAGAACTCGGGGGAAAAAAGAATGAAAAACTAATGCCTAAATTCAAGAGTTGTGCCTCCCAACATATTTTATGGGCGCCAGAAATGAATTGCAAGGTTGAAGAATTTGCCCCCCCAAAGAACCCCCACCCCCACAGCTTTTTCAGGGAAGAAAACCCAACATTAACTGGCTACGACCATAATAGTAATGACGACAAACAACAGAATTTATCTTTCCAAGTGAATGAAACTTTGACTTTGGTTTGTGCAATTCACAAATGGAGTGCACTTTATACTCAGTTCTGTCCCAAATCTCAATAAGAAACTAACAAGTTTGAAGGGACAAGGATGCTACGAGGACAAAACAAGAATGGCAAAATTGACATGACGAGAAGAAACAGCCCAACAACGAGGGCACCAGAAGGTAATGATAACACTTACATTAGGAGCCAAGTGGGATGAACGGATCACAGAATAAACAACGCGAGACACCACTAGTACATGCGTAGGCCTAGCACGGTGACCTTAACCCCTTCGTTCTGGGAGATGGCAAGAGCCGCGGCTTTGTGTGAGGATTAGTGCATACCACACATACAGTCTATTCACCGTGCAGCTGCTGGTTCAATAGGGCCTGCTGATGGACAAAGCCCTCCATTCTGGGCATACCACAGCCCAGCAGTCACAGTCAATAGAATCCACGAAGGGGTTAATGATATCTTTAAATGCAAACATTTTTGACGAGATCAGAACACAGGCGCTGACATTTGTACCTTTGTATTTTGGTCAATCTCACTCTCATCTTTCTGACTATTGAGGGTGCTCTGTAGAGCATCAGCAGCTGTGGTTGTTGCCTTGACAATGCCAGCATACATCTGTTTTTTGTCTAGGTTTGTCTCCCTGTCATGCTTACTCTGAAAGATCTATGGAAAAGACAGCAAAAGGCGATGTCCAGTAATTTTGATGCCTGAATCTACACAATGGAAGCCTCTGCATCTGAAGGTCTTTTATTGCTTCTAGATAGTTTTGGACACTTGAAAAAAATAGAGCTGAAGGACTTTTAGATGAAACTATAAATTAAGTGAGAATTAATTATAATTTGAAGTTTTTCATCAAGTGATGCAAGTCATTAGCAAAGATTATATAGCGCCGAAGGTGCAAGATGGATAACTCTGCCCAAAAGGTGTAATAACCATGAAGGCCATTTGAGCAAGCGATACGCCTGCGCGCTCACCATAATGCTCACCTGGTGTCAGTGCCTTCCACGGTGTCTGCGCCTGTGCAGTAATGTGCATTGCGCAAGTGTATCGCTTGCTGAAATGGTGCTTATGCAATTACAACGTTTCACATGTAATTACGGTGAAGTTCTCCATCTTGCGTCACTATCTTTGCGGGACTATACGATCTTTGGTCATTACTGTCGGTTTCCCTGGCTGATTTCAAAAGAAAAAGCACTGAATTTAACTAACATGCATATAATTTTCGGTACATTTTTGGCAATTTGCTACTAGGGTTTTGTTTTCCAAATAATCGCATTCCATACTTATTGAGGAGTGTATTTTAATCTTTAGATGTCATTCGAGGCATTCCAAATGTCATTTTCATCAGTCACAAATCTAATTTATACTGACTTTTAAAAATTCTTTCAAACGATTTGAGATCCATTAAAGATGAAAATGTTTTAATTTGTTTCATTTCTGTTAAGAGTCAATCACTTTCAAACTTAGTGAGTTCAATTCACAGCATTTAGATGCTAAGGAAAACACTTGTCTGCACTTATCGAAAATGTAAACTATCACGGGGAGCAGAATGGCTACACGTCAAATACTCCCTCATTTAAATACACGTACATGTATGTATCCATTTCAACTTTGGGTTGAAGACCTTTTCCGTAATTGTGTTACCAGACTTTACACTTGCAAATTGTTTACATCAAAGTGGAAATTTCAACCCCTGAGGGTTATATTTGTGTACATGTAGGTATTTCATGCAGTTGGAATACCACATCCCTCTCCGATAGCATAAATCACAAAATGTTGCCATGGTAATGGGCAATTACATAAATGTACATGCACACAAGGGTGTGAGTGGCCACTTAAAAGTAAAGCTGAAAACGGCGAGCAAACAGCTGAAATATACACAGTTTCCATACATGTACTTTGAAAAAGCTAAAAATTCAGGATCAACGTCTGAACAAAAAAACAAACGCTGAAATCAGCCAACAAGTACCTACAAAAATTATGGACACTACTGACAGTCATGTGATTGCACTTTATAGTGAGAAACATCGCGGCTTTCTTTGGTCAGACTACCTTCATTGCTTCTTGGACATCCTTCAGACGTTGCTCTGGGCTCAATGCCTCCTGCAGGTAACGCTCCATCAAATAGTTAGTGCGCCCTCTCTTGATGATCTTGTCATCAATGTCCGTGATGTTCATGACATAGAGAATGTCATAATCAAAGTAGTATGTCAGGACACGCCGCAAGATGTCAAATGAAATGTATGACCTGAGAAGTGCGGTATAAACACAATGCAATTAGAGTTTACCAAACTTTTATCCAATTTATATTCATTTAGGATTCAATTTCGGAGAGCTGACGGAGACAGGTGATTGCTTGAATTCTTGAATAAGAGCCAGTTTGGTATTTGAAAGAAGACAGGTCATTTGAGAACAATGAATCTACTTAGTTCAAGTACATGTCTATGTGCAAAAATATACACATACTTTTATCTTGTGGATTGATGTGCAACACATTTCCTTTTGAGCATGCCCTGTTGAAATACCGAACTTGTTCACTACAACCTTGTGTCCTAAACACAAATATTTTATTGTCCTGAATTTGTACAAGGTTGTTATGATCATTTAGAGAAATTACATTTACATGCACACATACGGGCATTCAGCTGTCACATTAACCCTAACCCCCTAGGCTCCTGCACTAGAAAGCATACTGAACCTCAC